TTTCCCCAGAAAACTCAAAACTGAGCTAGAATAGTGGCATTGCTTTGTAGAAGACAGTGAATGTGGGAAATGCGGCTTCACAAAGACATGTAGTTAAAAAAGGAAGTTGTATGTTAGTAGTCTTTCAGGTCATTATGGATATGCTTTATGATACTGCACCACACTTAACAAATGGTAGTTTCTGTTTTCTTTTTTTAGAGACAGAGTCTGTCTGTCTCTTACAGGCCGAGTGCAGTGGCACAATCACGGCTCACTGCATTCTTGACGACCCAGGCCTAAGCAATCCTCCCGCCTCATCCTCTCAAGTAGCTGAGACTATAGGTCCACACCACTGTAACCAGCTAATTTTTATTTTTTTTATTTTTTATTTATTTATTTATTTATTTTTTTGAGACGGAGTTTCGCTCTTGTTACCCAGGCTGGAGTGCAATGGCCCAATCTCAGCTCACCGCAACCTCCGCCTCCTGGGTTCAGGCAATTCTCCTGCCTCAGCCTCCTGAGTAGCTGGGATTACAGGCACGCGCCACCATGCCCAGCTAATTTTTTGTATTTTTAGTAGAGACGGGGTGTCACTGTGTTGACCAGGATGGTCTCGATCTCTTGACCTCGTGATCCACCCACCTTGGCCTCCCAAAGTGCTGGGATTACAAGCTTGAGCCACCGCACCCAGCCTAATTTTTAATTTTTTATAGTTCAGCCTGTCTTCTTAAAAGGTTCATTGCAGCCAGGCATGGTGGCGCACGCCTGTAATCCCAGCACTTTGGGAGGCCAAGGCAAGTGGATGGCAAAAAAAAAAAAAAAAAAAAGATTAATTGCAATGTGGCATCTGAAAGTGAACTTCTCAACCTGGAGCCACGAAAGCTTTTATAACATCAACCAGTGGGCATTTATAAAATAAAGGCCAGTGAGTTATGCACGTCTTTCAAATGTTGATGCATTTCTTTATACTGTGTGGAAAAATCATTTGTTCACATGCTGATGGTATTATCAGAAAGGCTTTTTAATGGAAGCTGTTGAGCTCACAGCAGCAGATCCAAGTTTTCCGAAAAAAAATGTTTTAGCTATTCCTTTGAGTGGCAGACAGATTCATTTTTTGTTCATTTTCAGGAAAACATTTGCCACATGCCTACTATATCTTGTCTGTCAGTCATTTTTTCAAGTAAAAACAAAGGTCTGTGAAAAAGATTAGCCCAGGCTCCAGAATCAGACAAGCTCAAGGTGCTTCTCAGGACAGCACCTGCCTCAGATGCAGCAAGAGTGCTTCATGCACATCCCACTTCATCACAAAGGATGCTTTAAAAGCTGGGTGTGGTGATGTCCACCTGTAGTCCCACCTGCTAGCTGTAGTCCCAGCAACTCAGATGACTGAGACGGGAGGATCTCTTGAGCCCAGGAATTCAAATTCAGCCTGGGATTTGAATAGTGAGAGGCACTATTTAATAGAGCCCCACCCACTTCATGCCTCTATTTTTTTTTTTTTAGTGTATTCAGAATAGAGTTTAATAAAAATTAATTTTCATTGCTTCACCTGTAACATTTATAAGCGACACCAGATTTTTTCTTACTGCATGTGTAGCAGTGAGGATTCCACGCACACTTGTGCTCTCAGCCCGCCTTGAGCTCTGCTCAGGTGCCAGCAGCTTTTCCCACCAGCATCGGCTGTGTCAACACGGCAAAAGGGGCATATGGCAGGTGTTGTGGTCTCACCGAGCCTGCAGAGCACATTCTGGGCACCGCCAGTCTAGCTATTCCTGAGGGGCCTCTGCCACAGCCACAGAGACAGCCTTTTTGTTTCCTTGGCAGCTGACATCGGCGACCTCCTGGAGCAGTTAGTAGAGGAGATCACAGGCTCCTTGTCAGGCCCAGCAAAGGACTTTTACCAGCGGGAGTTTGATTTCTTTAACAAGATCACCAACGTTTCAGCTATCATCAAGTAAGTGCAGTGCTTCAGAAACCACCTTCTGGAATATCTTGTTCCAGTCCCTGCAGCTTAACAGAATTGCCTGGGAAGCTTTAAAAATGCCCATGCCTGGCTGTGTGCGGTGGCTCACATCTGTAATCTCAGCACTTTGTGAGGCCGAGGTGGGCAGATCACGAGTTCAGGAGTTCAAGACCAGCCTGGCCAACATGGTGAAACTCCATCTCTACTAAAAGTACAAAAATTAGCTGGGCATGGTGGCACCCACCTGTAGTCCCAGCTACTCAGGAGGCTGAGGCAGGAGCATCGCTTGAACCCAGGAGGTAGAGGTTGTGGTGAGCCGAGATCATACCGCTGCACTCCAGCCTGGGCAACAAGAGCAAAACTCCGTCTCAAAAAAAAGATGGGAGTTTTCTGGGTGTCAACAGGTGGCAGGCTGATATTCCCCCCCTCCGCCCACACTGTGCCCATCCTCACCCTAAGGCAGGAAACCTAAGGGGCCTGCCCAGCAAGTAAATAACAGCCAGTGTGGGAGCCAGAGCTCCACCCATGTGTGCCTCTGACACCCACACACACCTCCACACAGCAGGGGAAGAGCCCCGCCAGAAAACAGCCCCTCAGGGGATGTTGGGGATTCTCCATGAGGAATGCAGGGCAGGGCAAGAATCACTGCAAGTGGCGCCTGGCTGCACTAGGAGCAGCCAGTGCTGGGAGGAGAGGAGAGGGCAATCCAGGCAGGCGGGACCCTGGGCTGTTCCCCAGCAGCCAGTTTCTTCAGGAGACAAAGTAAGCATTTCTTTCCTGTTTCTCAGGCCCTACCCTAAAGGCGATGAGAGAAAGAAGGCTTGTCTGTCAGCCCTGTCTGAAGTGAAGGTGCAGCCGGGTAAGCAGGTGGCCTCTGGAGGCTCAGACCAGCCCCTTCCTGCTGGTGGGCAGCAGGGTGTGGAGGCTGCTGCCCCTTTCCAGGCACTCCGGGATGTAGACACAGTAGCTTGTCTAGCCCCATACCTTCTTGGGACCACGGGTGCCTGGTGCCCCGTTACCCCAGCGCCTCCCTGGGATCTGCCTTTAGTGAGAGGGAGCTGCTTATCAGTGGGTGCCCTTCATCTTCCTTGCTACCTGCTATTTTTCTGGAAGCTAAGATACTGACCTCAGTAGCTGTTACTCTAGAAGAGGGTTCCTGGGCTCCAGCATTATAGGAGCAGCTCACATAGATGAGGGGATGGCAGACCCAGTGTGGGACAGCCCAGGTGTGCTGGGACCCATCAGCCCCCCACCTCCCATGGGAAGCTGCTCCTAGGCACCTGTGGCCGTGGCCACATGGGAATTCAAGCCCAGTGTGATTAAGCTTTTCAAGAGAAGATGGAAATCCAGACTTCACCAGGCAGCCCTCTCCATTTCTAACAATTGGCCCAAACTTGTCTTCCAAACCCTGGCATCCTGTGCAGATGTTCACAGCAGCTGGTCTCAGCTGTGGAATGCCCTGCAGGGCTCCGGTTTAACCATTTCTTCCCAGTACATTGTGTTGAGCTCACACAACAGCTCGGCTTCTCAGAGAGGGCAGGACATGAGTGTGGGGACTCTGTCTCCACATCAGGAAGGCTACAACTGCTGAGGAAGGGCAGAAAGAGCTGAAAGCATCGTGCTGAAAGGAGGATGCACACAAGTCCCCACCTCCGGCTCCAGATTGTGTTGGCTGAGTCTTGCCTCAGAGATCAGGGAGGCCAGCAGGCCTCTAGCAGAAGAGTACAGAGGGGCCTGAGTGTGAGCCACAGCCTGGAGCAGGTAGAAAAGCGGGTGAGGAAGAGGAGGAGATGACATACCCCACTCTCACTGCACCCCACAGCAAGGCCAAGCTTGGCTCCCCTCAAAGCCCACCTCTCAGGCTCAAGAAACCCACGTACCCCTTGGGGACTGGCAGTTCCTTGGCCAGAAACAGGCTTTCCCTTGTCCTATTTCACGTGTTTACTGAGCACTCACTGAGAAAGGGGAGTCTGGGCAGGGCACAGTAGCTCACACTTATAATCCCAGCACTTTAGGAGGCCAGGGCAGGTAGATCACTTGAACCCAGGAGGTGGAGGTTGCAGTGAGCCAAGATCGCACCACTGCACTCCAGCCTGGGTGACAGAGCAAGACTCCATCCCCCACAAAAAAAGAAAGGGGACTCCAAGAATGGAGGACTGTTCAGAGGGCTGCTCGGGCAGGTGGAGGCAGGCAGGCTCACATACATCCTCAGGAGCAGTAGGGCTGTATCCGTGAGGACAGGGCTCAGTGCTCCTCCAGGAAGAGCATTTCCCAGAAGGTGCAGACTCATTGGTTTATGGCTGGAAGAGTCAAAGAGTCAGGGAGGATGGACCCTTAGCAGCCACAGAATAGTAAGTTAGTGGTGCCGTGGACAAAGACCAGAGGCCCCTCCACAGGGGTGGGGCGTGCCTACAGGGTGGACTTGGCACATAATATCCATGTTGGAAACTGATACTGGCCTCACCTGTGGTCAGATGCGCACTCCCTGTGACTGCCTCTGTCCCTGCACAGGCTGCTACCTGCCCAGCAACCCCGAGGCCATCGTGCTGGACATCGACTACAAGTCTGGGACCCCGATGCAGAGGTGGGCACCTCGCCCTGCCCATCCCCCACTTCCATAGCACCCTCGTGTGGAGTTTTTCTCAGCTGCATCATGGGTGCCACATTGTTTTTGTTGTTTTCAGTGCTGCAAAAGCCCCATATCTGGCTAAGTTCAAGGTGAAGCGATGTGGAGTTAGTGAACTTGAAAAAGAAGGTCAGTAAAGAACCTTGGTTTTGTTTGGGAGCTCAGTGCTTTTCCTTGCTAATGCAGTGTCTTTTGGCATGTGTTTAATTTAGTACCAGCTCTCCTTAAAAAATGATGTCTGTCCATCATTTGCTCTCGCTCAGAGTGCAGTGACATATGTGCCACCCCTAGAGGTCAGTCTGTCACAAGTCAGCTGGAATACTCTATAGGGTCCAGCCCTACAGGGTTCTGTGAGCCGCTCCCGGCTGGTGCGGAGACAAGAAATTGTGGAAATAAAAGACACAAGACACAGAGATAAAGAAAAGAGAGTTTGGGCCCAGGGGTCCACTGCTACCCAAATCTCGGAGACCAGCAGTGGCCCCGAATGCCGGGATGCTCTCACTTAATTATTGAGTTACCTTACCACAAGAGCTTGGAGAAGCACAGTTTTTTCCAAACTTCCCCAGGAAGGCGACGGCCATTTTGGACACCTCCTTCCCTTGCTGGCTAAACAGCGGGCGCTTTCACAGCACTAGCGCTGCCGCATAGCCGAGGCACCCTCCAGCAGCCCTTAACGCGGGCGTGACAGAGGGCTTAGAGCATCTTGCCTTAGTGTCATTCATTTCACAATGTGACCCCAGGTTCACACTTCCGACCTGATAGGCATTAGTAAAGGAATTAAGATCACCTATGAATAACTAAGATCCCATATGAATAACTAATAACTACTACGGTTATATTTCTAGTTACTTTCGTCTTCATTATTTATATGGAAATAGGCTGAGGCCTTTTGCTCCTGCCTCAGCGCTTATAGGATCTCCCCACTACAATACTCCAGGAGGCTCCTTCCTGAGCTGAGGGGCCTGGGGCCATTGGGGGGTGTTAATTTCCCGGGGCTGCTGTACAGATGATCTCAGTTCTGGAGGCTGGAGTCTGCCATCATGGTGTCATTGGGGCCGTGCCCCTTCTGAAGGCTCTGGGCAGGTCCTTCCTCACCTCCTCAGCTTCTGATGGTTTTGCCAGCAGTCCTGGGTGCACCTTGGCATGCAGATGCACCACTCCCATCTCCACCTCCATCTTCACATGGTGATCTCCCTTGAAGGACACCAGTCATCGGATTAGGGCCTGTCCTAACCCACTGTGACCTTCTCATAACTGGTTACATCTGTGAGACCCTATTTCCAAATAAGGACACATTCTAGGGTTTGGGGTGAACGTGAATTTTAAGGAGACATTCTTCAAGTACAGTGTGGCCAGCTGTGGAGAGGGGGCTGCCACCCGTTGGAGGGACCTACCTTCCATGGCCATGTTTGCACACTGGCCCCGAGCCGTCCCAGGACCCCATTGTACAGACACATTCCTCCTGCGCCCCCAGCTCACAGCCCCACGCTGACCCAGGCACACCTGGGTCCTCACTGCAGATGAAATGGGGCTCTGTTTTTAGTTCCATTTAAGCCGAAATGTTCTGACCTTGACCCTGGATTCCACCTGCTGTTCCAGGGCTTTCCTTGGGCCCTACTGGGCCCATTCTTGGCACCCTTGGGGCTTTGAAGAAGTGATCCCCAAGATTGCTGGGGTACCTTTCAGACATGTACGAAGATTCACCCCTGGCCCCCTCAGAGGGCTTCTCACTGCCCACAGGCTAATAGCAGCCTCTCTCCCCGAGGACAGGTCTGCGGTGCCGCTCAGACTCCGAGGATGAGTGCGGCGCGCAGGAGGCCGACGGCCAGAAGATCTCCTGGCAGGCAGCCATCTTCAAAGTGGGGGATGACTGCCGACAGGTAGTGGGGTCAGGCCTGGGGCAGGCTTCAGGGCTGGGCTTGCTGCTTCCCAAAGCTCCAGGCCTGCCAGAGTCCAATCTCATATGTAGAAATGTGAATTTTTGCCTCCTCTTATATGGTTCACGTGCCATGGGGTAAATGGGACTCCTGCAAAACCCAGAGGCCTCTCCTTCCAGCCCTTCTCCCAGCTGTCCCTCCAGTGCCCACCTAAGGGAACTGCCAAGGGGTTGGGTGCCCTATCTCACACACCCCACCAGACAGCTCAGCCCAGGGCCTGGTGGTCCCAGCAGCCTGAGTCTAGTCCCCGGTGGGCAGGAAGCAAGGCCTTCCAGACTCTTGTTCGGCTGTGGCCTCCCTGCCTCACTCCATGTCTGGGTGCTTGGCTTCTGCCCTGGATGAGCCAGAAGAACTACCGGGGTACAAGGAGCCCAGCTGACCTCCTGCACCTCCCGGCTTCCCAGGACATGCTGGCCCTGCAGATCATCGACCTCTTCAAGAACATCTTCCAGCTGGTCGGCCTGGACCTCTTTGTTTTTCCCTACCGCGTGGTGGCCACTGCCCCTGGGGTAAGTTTCTTGAGTGGAGCCCAGTAGGGCACTCCTAGACACCCTGCACCTGGCGGGCCTCAGGACTGGCCTTTCTTCCCTAGTGCGGGGTGATTGAGTGCATCCCTGACTGTACCTCCCGGGACCAGCTGGGCCGCCAGACAGACTTCGGCATGTACGACTACTTCACACGCCAGTACGGGGACGAGTCCACCCTGGCCTTCCAGCAGGTAGCCAGGGCGGCCGCAGCCCAGGGATCGTGTGCACGCCACCCCACCCCAGCCACCTGCACCCTGCTCTCCTGAATCATCCTTCATTAGGGGTTAAAGCCAGGGCACCTATAAGCCACTTTGGGAGTCAAAAGAATGTAGAGCTAGACTCCCCAGGAGAAAGCTAAGTTCTGGGTGTGGGAGGAAGCACCTGCACCCACATCCACAGACAGCCCCTGTCACTGACTGACTTGCTGATTCAGGCTCTGCCTCCACAGTGGGGGCACAGAGCCAGGGAGAATGCCCAGAGGCCCGGGGATCCTGGCCGTGGGACCAGGGAGAGTGCCCACAGGCCCCAGCGCTTTTGTGAGCCCAGGGCACGCTCTACACAGGCCCGCTACAACTTTATCCGAAGCATGGCCGCCTACAGCCTCCTGCTGTTCCTGCTGCAGATCAAGGACAGACACAACGGCAACATCATGCTGGACAAGAAGGGCCATATCATCCATATCGGTCAGCCAGCCACAGCGCCACACTCCTTTCCCCTCACCCCTGGCACCCAGGGGAGGATAGGGATCCCCACCCCACAGAGGGGAGCAGGCATGCCCAGGACCACCCTGCCAGGAATGTCAGAATCCAGCTCTGAGGTCCGAGCTGTCGCCCCCCCAGCTGTTCTGCTGTAGAGGGTGCCTGGCCCCGGCCCCAGCCCCAAGGAGCTGGGACGAGAGCAGCCAGAGTTCTGAGTCGGAAGCTGGAGCCAGGCGGAGTGGGGCTCATACAGGTTTGGTGCCCCAGCCTGGCTCCTGACTCCACTTCTCCTCTCTTCCTGAGCCTCCTGCTCCACCACCCATCCCATCACTGTCCCCAGGAAAACACAACCTTCCTGTTGTGGGTGGGGGGATGCTGCTGTCACAGAGTCCTTTTCCACTCCTGAGAACAGAGCACATGTCCCTGCCCACCCTGGCTCCTGGCCCAGTCACAGGCAGCTCTTTGGGGTTTTGCAGACTTTGGCTTCATGTTTGAAAGCTCGCCGGGCGGGAATCTTGGCTGGGAACCTGACATCAAGCTGACGGACGAGATGGTGATGATCATGGGGGGCAAGATGGAGGCCACACCCTTTAAGTGGTTCATGGAGATGTGTGTCCGCGGCTACCTGGCTGTGCGGTGAGCCTGGGTGAGGGCCAGGGTTAGGGAGGAGGGAGTATTGGGAGTGTTCTGAGGCCCCTTTAGGATCAGGTTCCAGAGAGTGAGGGAGTTCCTAGCGGCCGGCTGCTGACCTAGGCCTGCCCTTCAGTCACCTCTGTCTGCCCACCTGTGCCAGTAAATTCTTGCTCTGGGCATCCAATTCTTGCCACCTTTTCCAGGATCCTGCCCACACCTTCAGCCATGGGCTCCCTCTTTCTGGCCTCCCATCCACCCTGTCACCAAAGCCTGAGTACCTGCCACCCTGCAGGCTGCATGCCAGAGATGGCCTTTATTCCAGTTTCATCTACAGGTTACTTGGCCAAGGCCACAGTCCAACCGGAGTTCACCCCACTGCCCTGCGGGGAAAGCAGGTCAGGGAGTCTGTATCCCATCTAGGTGCAGAAGCCATGGCCAGCAGCCTTATGTGGGGGCCCAGGGCGGGGCACTCAGCCTGTCCAGAGTGCACGTGGGCAGCCCCTGCCTGGGCCGCACAGATTACAGAGGGCAGCAGATGGAAAGCTACCTCGGGAGGATGTGGAAGGTGTGGCAGGGGAGGGGCTGGCAGGAGCCCAAATCTGAGGCTGTTGGCATCAGCCATGCCCCCTGCCTAGGCTGGCCTCAGTCCACTACCCCCTCGTCTCTCTCCCCAGGCCCTACATGGACGCGGTAGTCTCCCTGGTCACTCTCATGCTGGACACGGGCCTGCCCTGTTTTCGCGGCCAGACAATCAAGCTCTTGAAGTAGGTTCCTTGGTGGACACGCAGGCCATCTGGGGGAGAGTTGTCCATTAGCTGAGGCTCCATCCAAGATTGGAACCTTTTGTGTAATTGTCACTGGTTGTCATCTCCTTGGAACCTCAGAGCAGACAGGGCTCCTGGGTGAGGCTCTGCCCCTAGACCACACCTGTGAGGGGCCCCCGCTTGTGCTGGCCACACCAAGAACCCACCCAGAGGCCTCTATTATGTCAAAGATGCTACACCCACCCGCCCTTGGCCCTAAGGTCCAGGGCTGCAGTAGCTTAGCTCCCCAATGCTTATTCCCCTAATGCCATGGGGCTACTCGGGTGATGCTGGGAAGGGGACAGAGCCCACAGTAGGCCAGGCATGGCCTTCACAGCACCCATCTTCTAACATGTAGACCCCAGAGGTACATTTCCAGGGCATGGCTCTCAGCTGAAGTCCGTCCCCAGGGAAGACCTTCCTCCCACTGGGCCAGGGAGGAAGCACGGCCCAGACTGGCCTGGCCTGCGGCAATCCTGACACAGCCTCTCCCCCAGGCACAGGTTTAGCCCCAACATGACCGAGCGTGAGGCTGCAAATTTCATCATGAAGGTCATCCAGAGCTGCTTCCTCAGCAACAGGCAAGTCCTTCACCCTTCACCCCCCCCCACCTTCACCCCCCCAGCGGCCACCGTGCACCTGCAGGGCCTGGCCTACACCAGGCGATGAGGATGCTGCCATCCCCAAGCTGCCCCCCTTGTGGAGACTCAAGCCTTGACAAGAGTTCTTGAGGAGCAGTGAGGTGCTGGCTTAGGGGGCCGTGGTGTGCCAGAGGTCGAGCCCACCTGAGCAGGTCTTGTGAAGCCGAGGGAGCAGTGGGGGCACAGGGCCAGGAGGAGCAGAAATAAGTTTGGTATCAGGCCTCCCTCCTCGCAGGAGGGCTGAGAAGTCAGACCCCACTCCTTCCATGTGCCTGCCTCAGGCTGCTGGTCACCAGTGTGGCAGGAGGGGATGGGTGCAGGGGGCCTTGGGGAGAGCTGGCTCAGGGTCCAAAGACAGAGCGCTGAGCTGATAGGCTCCGTGATGTAGGAGTCGGAAGTGGCTTTAAGGGGTCCGGCCTGAACACAGGGAGGATGGCGATCCCAGCAGGTGGGCATGGGGAAACAGAGCCATCCCCAAAGGGGGCACCTACAGATGTGGGACTGGTGAGGCCACAAGGGTCATATGGGGCCCCCAGAGTGCGGCCATCTGTGTGGGAAACTGCTGGAAGAGCCTGAAAGGAAGCTGAGACTGCCCCCAGGTGCGTGTGGGTCCAGTGCCCTAACAAGGGCAGTGTGGAGGCTGGGCACAAAAGGAGTTCTTGCTAAGCGGAAGCAGAGAAACCAGGCAGCCAGGGCACAGCGACAAGGGGCTCTCCAGGGATGCAAGGAGAGCACACAGACACCTTGGGGGCATCTGGCCAGGACAAGCCAAGGGGCCCGAGGGCATGTCACGGCTCCACAGATGGAAGCACTTTGGCTGAGGAGCATGAGGTGGCCTCAGAGGCCTCTGGGTTGGAGCAGATGTGGTCCCTGGGTGGGGAAGGCTTCAGGTGCTGGGCAGCCATGCGAGGGGCTGATTGGGCAGGGAGGGCTCCCTATCGGGGAGGGACCCCTGTCGCGGAGGGACCCCAGACCTCACTGGTTCCTCAAAGGAGTACTGGATCATGTCATAGGTCCGGCTCAAGTGAGTAAATACTCTCCCTTGGCCTTTCAGGAGCCGGACCTATGACATGATCCAGTACTATCAAAACGACATCCCCTACTGAAGAGGGGACCTCCTAGGCCCTCTGCCCTGTGTACCCTTGAAGCTGCCCCACAATCATGGAGCCCCTGACCTCCCCACCCTGCCACCACATGCAGTGGAGAAGAGACCTACGGCCCGAAGAGCCTGGTGGCGCCTCCTAGAGCAGCGCGTGGGTGGCGCAGCCTTGGTAACCCAGTGGACTGCAGCGACAATCATTGGATGGTGCTGTTTATGCACAGGTGTGAGTCCTCTGTTTGCACTGGACATATTCCCTGCCTGTCTTATTTCATAGGTACATGAAGTATTTTCTTGTGTATAAAAAAATGATGGAAGATTTAACCAACGTCAACAAAATAAAAACCCAAAATAGTGTCATGTTGGAATTTGCGAGGTTTCATGTCAAATCTTAAGTGCACCTTCAGCCAATGGGTAGTTCCTGGATTTGCCCCTAGAGAAGGAAGCCCAATGTTGCCTGCACTCATAGGCTGGGACCCAGGAGCACACGTTGTGGCTTAACAGGCATGAAATTCCCACAATCTCCTCACCATGGCACAGGTATACAAAAACACACACTTTTTCCTGACTGCTCTCCGCCCGCTCCAAAGCTGTCTCCCTCAGGGCCGCGATGGGGGCCCGTCTGTGGCTCTCCGCAGCATCCTCCCTCAGGGCCGCGATGGGGGCCCGTCTGTGGCTCTCTGTAGCATCCTCCCACTGCTCTAGTCCCTTGTTCTCATTTTCAAGTGGTGTGCTCTGGGATTCCACAATCTTTGTGTGACTAGACCCAGCAAGTGTTTCCTCCCACTCACCTAGGCCCTGTATCTGAAGCAGATAGATCTGAAACACATGAGAAACTCCAAAAGATTGCCTACACAGCAGGTAAGAAGAGAAAATCGGTAACCAGGAAGAACAGTGAAATGACTGAAAATGGAGCGGGAAGGAAAGGAAAGCCAAGCGGAGTTGGCTCGTAATCCCAGCACTTCGGCAAAGCGGGAGGATTGCTTGAGCCCAGGAGTTCAAGGCCAGCCTAAGCAGCAACGACAAGACCCTGTCTCTACAAAAAATGTTAAAATTAGCCACGTGGTGGTGTATGCCTCTAGTCCCAGCTACTCGGGACGGTAAGATGGGAGGACCGCTTGAGCCCAAGAGCAAGGCTGCAGTGAGCGGTGGTTGTACCACTGTACTCCAGCCTGGGCGACAGGCTCAAATTTTAAAAAAGAGTTGAACAAGAAGTTGAATGAGAAGCTTCAAACGCTTCAATCAACTTTTTTCTTTTTTTTTTTTTTAAGATGGCTTCTCTCTGTCGCCCAGGCTGGAGTGCAGTGGCGCGATCATGGCTCCCTGCAACCTGTTTCCTGGGTTGAAGCGATTCTCCTGCCTTAGCCTTCCAAGGAGCTGGGATTACAGGCACACGACACCACACCCAACTAATTTTTGTACTTTTGTTAGAGAAGGGGTTTCTCCATGTTCATGAGGCTGGTCTCAAACTTTTGGAGGCTGAGGCAGGAGAATCACTTGATCCACGCACTTTGCCTTGACCTCCCAAAGTGCTAGGATTACAGGCATGAGCCATGGCGCCCAGCCTCAATCAACTTCTAATGGGATTTCCAGAGCTGAAAAACACAAATATTTAGCTTTAGGAAGCACACCTGAGTACTGGGCAGTACAAATAAAAATATAGGCTGGGCACAGTGGCTCACCTGTATAATCCCAGCACTTTGGGAGGCTGAGGCAGGTGGATTGCCGAAGTCCAGCAGTTTGAGACCAGCCTGAGCACCATGGTGAGACCCCATCTCTACAAAAAATACAAAAATTAGCCAGGCATGCTGGCACAAGTCTGTAATCCCAGCTACTTGGGAAGCTGAGGTGGGAGGATCACTTGAGCCAAGGAGGTGGAGGTTGCGGTGAGCCCAAGATTATGCCATTGCACTCCAGCCTGGGTGGCACAGTGAGGCTGTCTCAATAAAAACTACGAGTCAATGTATAAGTTAAAAGGAGTTTTAGGCCAGGCGCAGTGGCTCACGCATGTAATCCAAGCACTTTGGAGGCCAAGGTGGGCAGATCACCTGAGGTGGGGAGTTCAAGACCAGCCTAACCAACATGGTGAAACCCCGTCTATCTAAAAAAAAAAAAGGAGTTTTGAGCAGCAGGGAGGGAGAGAAAAAAAGAAAAAATAATAAGTTTTAAAAGATATTAATCCAAAAGAAGGCAGAAGAGAAACATAATAGACTCACCACCTCAATTTAGAAGCCAGGAATTGTAAACATCAATTGAAGAAGTGAGACCCAATTATGTGCCGTTGATAACCAAAGCACTTTACAAATGAAGACATAGACCTAGGATAAAAATAAACAGAAGGAAAAAGACTGGCATCCATAATCATCATGTGTATGGGTATTTATGGAGCATTTCACAATAAGCAGTTGACAGAGTCACCAGCAAGAAAGTAAACACAGGAGACGTGAACAAGCCTGTTACCCACCTGGACCTGCTGGGTATTTATAAAACACTGTCAACAGCAGCAATACACTTTCTTCTCAATGTTCATTACAAGTTATGTGCTGGGTCATAATACTGAGATAGAATTAAAATCGTGCAGAGGGTGTTCTCTGGCCACAGTGGAAATTATAAATAACAGTAAGATACCTGAAAAAATGTCAAGAACAGTGGAACTAAAATACTAGACAAAAATAGCACATGTGGACCAGGTGTGGCGGCTCAGCTGTAATCCTAGCACTTTGGGAAGCCAAGGCTGGTGGATCACTGGAGGCCAGGAGCTTGAGACCAGCCTGACCAACATGGAGAAACCCTGTCTCTATTAAAAATACAAAATTAGGCCGGGCGCGGTGGCTCAAGCCTGTAATCCCAGCACTTTGGGAGGCCGAGGCGGGTGGATCACGAGGTCAAGAGATCGAGACCATCCTGGTCAACATGGTGAAACCCTGTCTCTACTAAAAATATAAAAAATGAGCTAGGTGTGATGGTGAGTGGCTGTAATCCCAGCTATGCAGGAGGCTAAGGCAGAAGAATCGCTTGAACCCAGGAAGCAGAGGTTGCAGTGAGCCAAGATCGTGCCATTGCATTCCAGCCTGGACAACAGAGCTAGACTCCATCTCAAAAAAAAAAAGAAAAAAGCACATGTGATCAGAGGGAAAGACCAGCATTAAAATGCTTTAAGGTAGCCAGGTGTGGTGGCTCACGCCTGTAATCCCAGCACTTTGGGAGTCTGAGGCGGGTGGATCAAAAGGTCAAAAGATCGAGACCATCCTGGTCAACATGGTGAAACCCTGTCTCTACTAAAAATATAAAAAATGAGCTAGGTGTGATGGTGAGTGGCTGTAATCCCAGCTATGCAGGAGGCTAAGGCAGAAGAATCGCTTGAACCCAGGAAGCAGAGGTTGCAGTGAGCCAAGATCGTGCCATTGCATTCCAGCCTGGACAACAGAGCTAGACTCCATCTCAAAAAAAAAAAAGAAAAAAGCACATGTGATCAGAGGGAAAGACCAGCATTAAAATGCTTTAAGGTAGCCAGGTGTGGTGGCTCACGCCTGTAATCCCAGCACTTTGGGAGGCCGAGGCGGATGGATCACATGACGCCAGGAGTTTGAGACCATCCTGGTCAACATGGTGAAACCCCGTCTCTACTAAAAATACAAAAAATTAGCTGGGCATGGTGGCGCGTGCCTGTAATCCCAGCTACTCAGGAGGCTGAGGCAGGAGAATTGCCTGAACCCAGGAGGCGGAGGTTGCGGTGAGCCGAGATCTTGCCATTGCACTCCAGCCTGGGTAAGAAGAGCGAAACTCCGTCTCAAAAAAAAAAAAAATACAAAAATTAGGCTGGCATGGTGGTGCACACCTGTAATCCTAGCTACTTGGGAGGCTGAGGCAGGAGAATTGTTGAACGCGGGAGGCGGAGGTTGCGGTGAGCCGAGAACATGTCATTGCACTGCAGCCTGGGCGACAGAGCGAGACTCTGTCTCAAAAAAATAAAAATAAAATGCTTTAAGGTGTTGTTTTGGGGAAGATGACAGTGATCAGCTGAGTTCACGGAGTAAGAATACCAGAATACAGAGTGGCTTCCCAAATAAACAGAAGGAAAGGAGATCACTGAAAAATCAGGATCAACGTGTTATAAAATGGTAGAAACAATTTCAAGTCACAATACTTGAAAAAGGCAGCTTGTCAAATTGGCAAAGAAAAAGTTTGGCCTGCACCACCACACCTGGCTAATTTTGTATTTTTAATAGAGACAGGGTTTCTCCATGTTGGTCAAATGCCATGTACAAGTTTCTGGCAATATGGCAAATTATATATCCTGAAAAACTAAAAATGCTGTTTACAGTACTGGGGAGGGGGAATCTTAAATCCATGAGCTGTAAGAAAGGAAGGAATCTTTGGAGGCTAAAAAAGTCAAGATCCTACATGACATGAAGATGACAAATCCACGAGCCTCATCCCTTTGAGGAGTTTATCAGGCCACCTTGGTCTACACTCTCAGGAGAAGGGTGTACTAGAAATAAAGCCAGGTGCCCCAGAGTCCACCCAGAGACAGACGCGGGCGGCTGGGGCGCTGCGCTTAGGTGGGCAGCAGTCCGTTCCCACGCAGTTCCAGCAGCGGAGACAGCGTGTAGCGCAGGCGGCGTAGTGTGGTCTCCGAAGTGAGGCTTCGGAGCCACGCGGAGACGGCGCCGGCGTCCAACAGCAGCTTGTAGAGCAGCGACAGCCCCAAGAAGAAAAGCGGCAGCGTCAGGAGCACCTGCAGCACGCCCAGCACGCACCGCCTGCCGGGCAACAGATGGGTAGGTGGGCGGTGGCTCGGGCGGGGACGGGGAGACCCCGGCCGTGCCCTCCGCAGGGCTCACCTGATGGCCTGCGCGTGCGGGCCGCCGAACAGCCGCATCTCCTGCGGGGAGAGGGGGGTAGGTTTCCAGGGGGAGGGGAAGGCGGTCCCAAAGAGGGATGGAGAGGGTTGTCCTGCTCCAGCCCGCCCCGCCCGGGCCCGCACGGGCGCTCACTCGGTCCGCCCGGGCCACCTCCTCCATGAGCGACTTGGTGCTATACTGCACTCCGCAAAGCTGCCCGCCACACCTGCGGGAACGCATGCAGGTGGGAGCGCGGCCCGCCCCACAGCGCCCCGCCGCGCCCGCAGGCCCAACTCCCTTACGGTTCCTGGCCACTCTGCCAGGCGTCCAGCTCCTCCGCCGCCTCCATCACCTTCACCTGCACCTCCTGGAGCGGGTGAGAATGCGGACTGAGGCCTGGGGGAGGCGTCCTGGCGGCGGGTTGAGAGACCTGCCGCCGCAGGTCTTGGGGAGGAGAGGCGGAAGGCACCATGGCGTCCGAGCGGAGCCGCACCTGCAGGACTATGGTCTGCTCCTGGAATATGGCCCAGGCCTCCGCTGTCTGCAGCGCGCCCTGCGTGTGGACACCAGGATTAGACTCGGGGTGACACGCCCCTCCCACCCACACTCGAAAGCAGACCCTCCTCCGACAGAACCCTCTTCTGGCCGCACCTGCTGCAGCTTCTCCTCCTGCAAGGCGTACTTGGTCTCCGCCAGCCCCAGTTGATTCTTGAGAAAGACGAATGTCAGGAGTCCCGGAGCCTGACACCCCGCTGCACCTCCGGGCCCTGACCCCGGCCCTCAGCGCCCCACCCCGAGGCGATCATGACCCCGCCCACGTCCTCAGGACCGGAGTAAGCGACGCCCCAGGTTGTCACGGCCCCGCCCCTGTGCTCCGCCCACATCACCGCCCGCCCCTCCCACCCCTTCAGGGCCTGCAGTTAGGCGACCCCCAGGTGGTCACTGCCGGGCTCTTGCTGCTCCGCCCCTACTCAAGACCTCAGGACCCCGCCCAAGCACCTGCAGAGTCACCAATTGGGCTGCGATTTGCTGCTCCGTGCGCTTCTGGCTCTGCTGTTCCCCTCCGTAGTAGAAGAGCTAGGGGCGGGGCTTGTAAACAGGGTTTACCGGGCTTCTGGAGGAGCGGGTGTCGTGGGGGACAGGGACAGGGAGGTAACAAGGGCGGGGACCAGGGCAGGACTTCCAAGAGGAACCCAGAGACAAGCCATCCCATCTCCTGCACGTACCTGACTCGACAGCTCCTCCCACTGCTCCTGCAGCTGCCGGTTGCGCTGCTCCTGCGGACAGGATCCTGGGGCGGTGCTGGCCTCTCCGCCGGTCCCACCCCACCCTACCCCCGGATCACCCCCGCCCTGCCGCACCCCACCATGGTTCCGGCCCCATTCCTGGGTTCTTCCTCACCAAGTCCTCCTTGTGGCGCTGCGCCTCCTCCAGCCTTCTGCGCACCCGCTCTGCGCGCTCCCGCGCAGCCTCTTGCGCCTCCCCTGGCAGAGCCTGCGCTGCCTGGCTTCGCCTGCGCAGCAGGCTGCAGAGCGAAACTGAAATTGGCGCTACAAGGCGGACTGGGTCGCTCAGGGTCCCGCAGTTGCCGGGAAAGACCAGATGCAGTTCACGATCGGGGACCGGAAAGCCCTAGCGAAATCCTCCACCTGGATCCACTGGGTGGATCGCCCGTTCCCAGGGGCGTAGAGCGGAGATGGGGGTCTGGGCGGACCGGCCTAGTACCCTGCGAAGCCCTTCGCAGCGCTGCCTGCGGGACCGACCCTAGCGCGCCAGCCCGCCCGCTAGAGCGGCGCTCCCCGCGCACCTGCGCTCGCACTCGCTCAGGTCCTGCAGGCGCCGGTTGAGGCTCTCGCTCTCGGCCTCGAGCCCGCGCATCAGCTTCTCTAGCTCCTGCTTCCGCAGGCGACCATCTCGGTTATCCTTCTGCAGCTGCAGCAGCAGCTCCTGAGTCTCGGCCATGGGTGTGGAGACGGTGCCTAAATGCCAGCCGCCTGGGGGACCCAGCCTGCTGGCAGACGTCACAATGGGCGGCAGGGGGCGCCAAGAGGGCTACGTCACAATGGGCGGCAGGGGGAGCCCGAGCACAGCCCCATACCTGCCCCTGCTCACACTGGCCGCATCACACTTAGTTGAAAATGTGGGCCGGGCGCGGTGGCTCAAGCCTGTAATCCCAGCACTTTGGGAGGCCGAGGCGGGTGGATCACGAGGTCAAGAGATCGAGACCATCCTGGTCAACATGATGAAACCCCGTCTCTACTAAAAATACAAAAAATTAGCTGGGCATGGTGGCACGTGCCTGTAATCCCAGCTACTCAGGA